ATTTTTTTCCTACTAACATACTAGATTGATCCCAGTAAGTAGTTTGCCTATGATGGAAACCCAGGTAGATTCTCACCAGTTGGTTTTAATCAAAACTTTCGTTGCCATAACGCTGAATATTCACAGCTATAATTAAAGGGATGAGAAAAGCCTTAGTCTTGTTATAAATAAGCACATGGAAGCCAGATTCAGCCAAACTACCACTCAGTACTCCAGTCTTTCATTAGGGACTCCTGGGAGGTGATCTGAAAATCCAAAATAGTGTTTACAGTGAGTTTCTGCTTCCAGCATAGCATGACCCTACGCATTCAAAACTCACTCCAAGCAGTGTTCCATATTGGCAACAAAAGATGATTTTAAATGAAAAAAGTCAAAATCCATTGAATATTATAACTGCATGTTTATAATAAATCTTTTTTTACTGTGAGTTTTTGATAAGATTAATTTAGAAATAAACACAGCTGCTCTGGTTATTAATACAGTACTGGCAGTTCATGATTTATATGACACTTATATGACAAGTATACGACCAAGATGAATTTCTAAATTTACTAAAACTTTTTCTCAATGAGTGCTATAGGATCTAAAATAAGCAAACAAGCTGTATGGATTTTCAATTAAAATCTGTTTCATTCGTTTGGTATGTTTTGTAATCTTAATGCTGCAGACACCACTGTAGCTCTAAGATAGTAGTGCCAAAAAAGGGTTTTGGACTGAAGCACATGCAGAAAAGGTTGAGCAATGAGCAGGAGAGACCAGAGCCAGAGCTGTCTGATCTTCAAACATTAATGGATATAAAATGCAGACTTGGCTGTGGTAAGCAGAGTGAATTTTCCTGAATACTTAAAATCTCCTGTTGAGGCCACTGCAATAACTATGTGGGCGATTAAAGTACCCATACGGAAGCATATCTCCTTCTCAGTGGATTCTTCACATGAGCTGAATTCCCGAACATCTAAGGAAGCATAACTAGGAACAAAGGAATAATTACAGCTCATTTCTTTGCTAATGTTCATGCATATCCATAAAAGTTAAGCGCTATGTTTCCTGCCGAGGTCTGAGCGCCAAAGAGCAAGTAATTGTAGAAATAAATGTCTTCTAATTGTCTTTTCTCTTCGTGTGAGTATTTCAGATTCAATTGTTGGAATTATTAGAATCCAGTGTAATTATACATGATTAGATGTGGTTCATTATTTGTTTTTGGTTTTTTTTTTGCCTCCTTTTTTTGTAGATTCTTTCTGAAAAATAAATCTAGATGGAACATACAATTGAAACAGTCAATTCCAAACTAAATCATTTTTCTTTTATTTTAGGCATGCTAAGACTTGCTAACATCAAACAGAACAAGGTGGGTGAAGTCAAAGTGGTAAAAATAGGTTATTTTCCTTCCTTTTTCAGTGCTCTATGTCCAAGTCAAGGCAAATAATTGACATTTACAAGAAAAAATTATGGAGTTAAAATGTTAGTAATGAAGGTAGGTAAATTCATGAGTATGACAGATACTACTTGCACTTTACTACAGTGCTACTTATTAGCATGCTGACCATACAGTGGTTAGTCCGTTTGTTAATTTACAGTAACAATTGCTTTAACAGTTTATTTAAGAGCAAGTCACTGTTAAGTAGCTTTGCGAACAATTTCGAGGTGTATGCGTTGAATGATACATGTTCCGGGAACGTTATCAATGCTTAAGAATAATACATACCATTTGATACTTGATATACTACACAGCTAACACCACCTGTTATTATGTTTTAATCAGAATAAAGACAATTGCATTAATGGTTTAGGTGCACAAAATTGGCAAACTGAAAAAATTATTCCTACACTGTGATTGTAGCTTTAAAGGCCTGTTATTTTTGCATCATGATTTCCCGCCTGACATTTTCAATTTTGTTTTCCTAATTTAAAAAATCAGTTAGTTTGAAACTTTCAAATTAAATACAGAAAAGATTCCTCATCACAAGATGTAAAGCTAGAGCTTGTTAGTTTAGTCTAGGTAAATTGTTAGTTTAGCGTAGCTAAAAAAAAACTAAGTAGGTTCCTTCAAAGGTATGTCCTTTGCTCAAAACAACACAAAAAACTGTGAAACCTCTATATTACCATAAGCTTTAATACTGTTGCTGCTACCAAGTCTTATTTAAATTAATATCCATCCAGCTTCTGTGCCCACATAATCCCATTGAGGGACAGGAAATTACTAACCTTGCGCAAAAGTTGGATTGCCGCAAGATCCGAGAGTTTTCAGTCTCACAACAAATCTTAAAAGACTCCTGCTAATACGTTTTCTTGCAACGCCCAGTGGGTTGGACCAATGATATGCCTGCAGTATTTTTTTGGGGCGGGACATGTAGGAATGACAACAGTTAGTTTGAGCCTTGCAAGGGCCTTACAAACATGGAATGTTGACTCGGTTTTTAGCTAGAATAGCAACGATTTCTCATTTAAGAAAGGAGCAAAGAGAAGTACTTTGTGCATTTGTAGATGGGAAAGATTTTTGTGTGTGTATGTCCTTTGGTAGCTCTCATGGACGGCCAAGTTCCAAAAGCTTTTAAGTCTGAAATGCCACGATTCGCTGTTATGATTGGCTGAAAGCGTATTATGGAAGGCGAGTACTAGCTGGCACGTCACTCAATCTGCTCAAAGTATTGTACTAAATGTCTCTCCTTTTCATGGACAGACTGAACGGCAGCCATCCTAGATTGTTTCCATTCAACTGCCAGGTTAGGAAAAAACTTTAGTGGATAAGAGGCTGGGGTTACAAACATTTCCCTTGGTGGATGTAAGCCGGTCCCGTTATAGTCTGATATAATTACTTTTAGAGAAACTACAAACATAGCTTGTCGAAAAATGCTCATCAGCCGGATAAAATGTCTGGCTTTCAAACAGAAATAAGTGTCTTGATCAACAGGAGTCTCCCGTATCCAGAAACCAGAAACATTGGGGGAGGGTAGGCCTTGTAGTTAGAGAGCGAGTCCTTTAGCTAAAATGCACTCAACAGCCCACTGATCCCAAATGGATAGTTTAATGCAGAGGAAACATCTTTTTTATTTTTTTTTTTATTGTTCTTAGCGAGCTGGAGTTGTTCATGTGAAGAGGACATTTTTATGTTTAACAGTCAACTAGCACAACAACTGAAGAATACATTTTCTAAAAGTCTAAAACAATTATGTTAGTATCTCAAGCATTTCTTTCAACTATGTAAAACATCAACTCAATTAAAGATGAGGGGAATACCAATGCTCATCCCTTTTTTTTTTAAATAGTAAAATATGTTTTCCATAGTTGAAATACACCAAAATCGGCTAAAAAATATTAGTATTCAAAATAACCCAAAATACACTTGCTAGGATTAAACAGTGCAGATGAGCAATAAAGCACATTTAATAATTTACTATTTTAACATATGATCACCACAGATCTGATACTAAATTGCAGCATTTCCACATGACCAAAATTGATAACACATTTTCGTTTCACTTTTAAAAAAGACATTTGGCTTGTAGACGTTATTTTCAACTTCCAAGGCTGACTTTCACTGCCATGTAGAAGAAAGTAAAAACAGATAAAAATGTAAGAACAAAATGCACATACATATTTAAATTTATCATGCTTAATTGTCACCATCAAATCATTCGTTCACAATACTGGGAAGAAGACTACAAATCAAGGTGCAAATAAACAATCATACAGGAATGAATAGCAGTAAATCATTTTTTTTGTTTGTTTAGGAACTTCATAGTTTGACCTAACTTTGTATGATTCACAATAAAAGTAAAATGTGCACAAAATATGCAGTTTTCAACTCCACATTAAAGAAAATCAGACACACATGCTCAACATTAGATACACATTATCCTTTAAATTAAAAAAGAATTCTATTTTATTCCTCACTACTGTGACTGAGCTCTATTGGTTATATACACTCACCGGCCACTTTATTAGGTACCCCATGCTAGTAACGGTTGGACCCCCTTTTGCCTTCAGAACAGCCTCAATTCTTCGTGGCATAGATTCAACAAGGTGCTGGAAGCATTCCTCAGGGAGTTTGGTCCATATTGACATGATGGCATCACACAGTTGCCGCAGATTTGTCGGCTGCACATCCATGATGCGAATCTTCCGTTCCACCACATCCCAAAGATGCTCTATTGGATTGAGATCTGGTGACTGTGGAGGCCATTTGAGTACAGTGAACTCATTGTCATGTTCAAGAAACCAGTCTGAGATGATTCCAGCTTTATGACATGGCGCATTATCCTGCTGAAAGTAGCCATCAGAAGTTGGGTACATTGTGGTCATAAAGGGATGGACATGGTCAGCAACAATACTCAGGTAGGCTGTGGCGTTGCAACGATGCTCAATTGTTACCAAGGGGCCCAAAGAGTGCCAAGAAAATATTCCCCACACCATGACACCACCACCACCACCCTGAACCGTTGATACAAGGCAGGATGGATCCATGCTTTCATGTTGTAGACGCCAAATTCTGACCCCACCATCCAAATGTCGCAGCAGAAATCGAGACTCATCAGACCAGGCTACGTTTTTCCAATCTTCTATTGTCCAATTTCGATGAGCTTGTGCAAATTGTAGCCTCAATTTCCTGTTCTTAGCTGAAAGGAGTGGCACCCGGTGTGGTCTTCTGCTGCTGTAGCCCATCTGTCTCAAAGTTCGAAGTACTGTGCGTTCAGAGATGCTCTTCTGCCCATCTTGGTTGTAACGGGTGGTTATTTGAGTCACTGTTGCCCTTCTATCAGCTCGAACCAGTCTGGCCATTCTCCTCTGACCTCTGGCATCAACAAGGCATTTCCGCCCACAGAACTGCCGCTCACTGGATGTTTTTTCTTTTTCGGACCATTCTCTGTAAACCCTAGAGATGGTTGTGCGTGAAAATTCCAGTAGATCAGCAGTTTCTGAAATACTCAGACCAGCCCTTCTGGCACCAACAATCATGCCACGTTCAAAGTCACTCAAATCACCTTTCTTCCCCATACTGATGCTCGGTTTGAACTGCAGGGGATTGTCTTGACCATGTCTACATGCCTAAATGCACTGAGTTGCCGCCATGTGATTGGCTGCTTAGAAATTAAGTGTTAACGAGCAGTTGGACAGGTGTACCTAATAAAGTGGCCGGTGAGTGTAGTTGTTGCATTTCAGTTTAACAGGAAGCGGCAGATAACACTGTGTAATCTGCCAAAATCAAAATTATGTTCAAGGAAATGTATTATATAAAGTTTTATCCAATGACAGCTTGATCACTGCAAAAAAAATAAAATCTAAAGTCATTTTCTCTTAATGTCCTGACTAAAGATGAATAGTGCATTTGACTTAATCTATACTAGTTTTTAAACTTTACTTTACTAAGTTATATGAACTTGATTTTTCTGAGTAGATAACATGGTTTGTTGTATAAGACTTAGTTTACACTGCTGTGCACCCCAATGCACATGTCAATTTATGTTTGTTTTTTTATCGGTTTGAGAACATTTACCACTTGAGGTACAGTCAACAAAGGTCACGCTTATTGCCACGATGCTCTCATGGAAAAGTTGGCTCTAACGCTGGTTTCGGAAAGCAAAGCTTTTGTTTTTAACCTTATCAATATAAGTTATTGTTTGAAATAACGCACTCTCTTCGACTTTTTTGTTAGTATGTTAGCCAGTGTACGTCTGCTGTTACAATGATCATATGTGCTGGTGTTGTTTTGGAGATATAAGTCTTAATTTCAGCCAATGACATCCCTGTTGAGTTATTTCTAGATAGTTTTCGCAGTGATGCATTTTGTGGGACAATGCCTAAAGAATAAATATCATCATGTTTTAGGCTTAAACTCGACAATGAAGTGTATAATATATTGTTCTTGTAAGAGTGAGTTGGAATCAGTTATAGATAAAAAGTTGAGCCAATAAGTAATTATTTCAAAAAATACCAGTTTTGCATGGACAAAAACTCAAGATCTTGATGTCACAATTTCTTCTCTGAATGTAATTTTATTGTGTCTAAATGTCACAATGTAACATATGTTTTTGGCAATCTTTGGTTGTGTGCCTGACTAGACATTGGATGATGAAATAAATATTCCTATTGAGAACTGGCTACGCAAAAGACAATGCATGGTAATATGTAGCCTTTTATGCGGCAGCAGCATGTTGACAAAATAAAAAAATTTCTATAAAGTTTAAGGGCAGGATGTAGCTACCCTCAAAAATGTTGCTAACTTGCTTAAATCTAAAGCTTTGAAGACTGAAAAACAGGTGTTCCTGACTAAATCCCACTACTAACATTAGTGAAAAAACATAAAAGGAATTCTTCTTTAGAATAATCTAAAAGGCACTGGACCTTATTCAGCTTTACAGACAGAATGGATAAGAACATAAATCACTAACTTACAAAACATGTTTGGTACCTCTAGTAGAGATGACTATAGTTCACAATCTGCATTCCTCATGCAGTTTTTCAGGGTTGCACCATTAAAAGTATGGCACAATAACATATATGACATGACTCTTTACTGAAAAACAAATCACCCTCAAATAAACAATGTTTCCCCATCTGCAGAGCTTTCAAGTACAAAAAAAAACATCTAAAAAGTGTTGGCTTCAAATGTAATGCTTTTCCTGATACAAAAAAAGCCAAAAAATAAAATAAACAAAACAATACTGAATCATATCAAAAGAAAAGTACAGGGAAAAAGTCTCACCTGTCCTCAAAAAGATATCTTACATTTAAATGGGCAAGCAACACTGACTAAAAGCCCACTTTGTGTCATAGAGTCCTCTTTGTCTTTCATTGCCTCTTTTTATATCCGCGTCTCCTCATTTCAGAGCACAAGTAGCCTGAGGACTGGTCCGGAGTGTATCAAAGAGTCCACTGTTTCCCCAGGCTTGGCACTTGACAAGTACAGTCCAGCTACTAAGAGATTACTTCCAGCAGATTCTCTGCAGAAGTGGGTTAAGTTGTGATCCTAAACTCTTTGTGTTGTACCAAAAAGTAAAAAAATTATTAGATTCAAGTCAAAGCTTAGATACCCATTTGTTCACATTGATTTTGGTAGATTATTTTCGTAGTCTTGAACTAGCAACAGAATTCACTTTAAAACCCCAAAGAACTAAATTCACATTTGGCAAACAAAAACATGAAGTACAACGACAGATTTCCCCTTTTAGATCAAAGGTTAAAAATGCAACTTGGATAAACATTCTAAGGGATAGAGTTTGAACAACTCTTGTCTTGTACTAGAACTGTATTTCAGACCAAAGATATTGTCAAACAGGCATGTAGTTCATGCCTGTTTGACATTATCAAAATCATATCACTGAAAACATGTTTTCACCACCATGCCTCAAAAAATTGCACTTGAGTCAAGTTGCTAGCTTTCGTGAAACCATTTTCTCTCAGTGTATATTATTATTCCCTTGTGGTATTTTGCTTCTTCATTCTTCTTACATTAGAAACTGGGATGGGGATCTGATCCAGCTACCACATGTGTTGGTCAAAGGGAAAGTCCATCCCTCATCCCCCTTACACAGCTGAGGTTTCCCACTGAAACACACAAACATTCACACACACTGCTCCATAAACAAGGGCAGATGTCTGACAAGTTTTGGGAATGTATGCAAATTCTTGCTTGTGTGTTGGTCAGGGAATAGACATTCTTATGATATTTGAGTATTAAACCCGAGAAAAGCAGGGAAAGTCTTCTCAGCATGGGTGCGATGCAGGCAACTCCAAAGTAAATATGCAAAAATAATACCTTTATTCTGACAAGTGGCCGATTTTTTTGCTATCAAGACTTTCTGATGACCATTACCTTGCTGTAATAAGTGAGTCCTTCAAGTCCTCTAACTCCCTTAATGTTGAGGAGGACAGTGTCCTACCCTCATGCGTAAAGCGCCACTTTTGTGTAGCTGCCAAAGCTTGACAAACTCCTCTGGCATGGCATGGAACCATTTATCTGGAAGAATGTTGTCATAATAATGGTGGCTGATGGGTTTCTCTTGAAGGTCAACGGAGAATGGCCAAAACCCATAAGCTGTCACCTCGTCACACAGTCCGAGAGCCAAGGTGACCAGGAAGAGCCCCGTAGAGAGGCGTTTGCCATGAACACCGCGGGATTTCCAGAATTTACTCACGCTGTGCAGAAAATCTGGGTTCGCAAAGAGCATTGTGAGGTTGGAGGAGGAGTCTGCAAGGGCGTAGTAGGCCCGTAGCGACGGGTCGGTACCTGGTTTCATGGAAAATGCTGGCATATAGATGAAGCTGGAGCCATACGCCTTCATAATATCCACAAAGGATTTTCTGGACCACAGAAGGTTCTGGAATCTGAGGAAGAACAAGGAGACTGGCTCTAAGTACATGAGTGCAATGAGTAACATCACTATGTATGTATAGTAAAACTCGGTATTCCAGACTGACCATTATTTCGCATTTGTTTGCTTCTCATACAGAGGCTTTTTAAGCGATCAGGAAGTTGCAACATCAGTTAAAAGTATGCAAGCTCAGGATAACAAATCAAAGAAAAGAGTCTTACAGTTCTTCAATTTGTATGCTTTATTAAAGTCTTTAATTTATGGGAGTGATTTATTTAAGTGGCAGGCAGGCCTAGCACGGTTTCGCCAACAGCTCATGGAAAGGACTTATGGAGGAAGTCACAGGAGAATCCAGCATAACATCTAAAATAAGGCAGGTCTTGTTATGATGTTAACAATAGCGGTGCTGGTAATGTACTGAGGTTACTTTGCTGCATAATAATTAATAAAGCTACAAAATCAGCCTTTTGGTAAAAGTTACCAAAGAAGAAAGTCTTTGTCTTTTTGGGGTTTTTTTGCAGCAGGAAAACTTTTGAAGCAAACTAGCAAAAAACCCGGCAGCAAAGTGCTGGGATGCACCTTGTCAGCAGGAAATCTCCATAAAAAGAGGAAGTCTCTCCCCACGTTAGCACTGTACATGTTTCATAATTTAAGAAAATACAGAACTTACTATATTTTATTTATACTTAGTATGTAGTACCTTCTTTTCTGGCTCGGTTTGTCCGAATTCTTTTCGGCCATTGATGCTCCAGTTTACACAAAAGAGTGAACAAATAGCTCCAAAAAAGTTGCAGCAGCAAAGAAGCATAGGAGTACTTCTTCATGCTTTGGTGTAATGGTGGACCGCTAGCCAAACAGCGTATGAGTTGCACTTGGAGCCTACATAAATAACATACTGGGGGCACGTACGCAAAATTTTTGTTCAACAAAGAACTAGCCAATCTTTTGTGACAGTAGACGAAGTAGATTGGCTAATGTTTTGTAGGACCCACCATGGCCAGAGTTTATAGATATTATTTTGGGTGGAACCATAAGTGCAAGAACCATCAATTAGGTCATTTTAGATTAATCTGGACTCTTAATTTCTCAGAAAATTTAAAAATCCTAAAACAAATCCAGTATGAAGTTTCTTGACAATGATGTTAACGCAACTGGAGATTTTTTTGTCCATACAGTTAAGTTGTGTATCACTTTTGGCCTGTCATATTTCAGCCTTATGCAGCCTTTATGTTCTACCTCTGATTTGAGAGACTCTTTAAGATCTAATCTCACAAAATAACCAATTACATTCATTCACTCAGAACACAAGGATCCCCATTCACATTCTCAGGATTTAAGCCAGTTATTGATGAGCGGTTTGATTTGCTGTTTTTGAAACGGTTTACCTTTTCTCAATGATGCTTGGGTTGGCAGTGACCAGGTGAGTTTTTGTTCCCACGTCTTCCATATATTTCTTCGTGAGTGGTGGGAGGTTACATCTAAAAGAGTAAAATGGCTCATTGTGAGTGTTAATTGCATATTAATTAACATGAAGTAACACATTAATAAAAAGTCGCTAAAATGTGTAGCTACAAAATTTAATAAAGACCATATTGAAGAAGATGTGAGCCCCTAGGCTAAATTTATAGTGCCTCGTCCATACAGGTTTGTTTTAATCAATCAAATTACAGCTGATTATTAGGGGTTTTTCGGCCTTTTCTCATGAAAGTAACAGTTTCATTTACACAACTTCCATTAATTTTTAATTTTAAATAGTTATCTCAATCTCACTATGAGAAATGTCTTATATCATACCAACACAGGTTAGTTTTTTAGTCCCTATTCTATTCAGACAGCTACTTGATGGTTATTTACACAAAGATTAGCACTGCTCAATATTTGTCGCTGCAATTATCCCATATTTATGCATGCTTTGATCTAAAGTAGAAGTTATGCACAGCTGGTAATGTGTAAATGTGTAAAATGTAGAGTGCATTAAGAGAATGCCACACTCTATTCCAGATGAAACAGATGAAAGTACTTTGCAAGCTAATGAGTATTTTCATTACTTCCATCATCTTTTTATATCTTCATTCCGATCAGGCATTCAAACCTGCACTTTGTGCAACATTTTAGGATTTTTTTTTATCATAAAATCACAATGAAATGTAAAACGACTGCAGGCATCATGCTACCAAAGAGCCAATTGAAGCATGGTTGCAATTATGTTGAATTATACAGCAGTAAGTACACCGGGTGTACTAATGATGCAGGAAATCTTCAAAGCCTCATTTGAAAGGTTCTTTAAAAAAAAAATAAAAGACGTATTCACAGGGAAGAAAAGTGCACAATGTAACTAAGGGCAATCGGCATCTCATTCTGCTGTTACTGCTTGCTTCCATTTATGATCCCATTGTGTCCCAAAGGGCTGTGTCCCCATTCAAATTAAAATCACAAACCCACAGACCCCAAAAATCCTCACCGCATGATAAAGTCAGCCTGGTCAATCTCCTGCCCACACCTGCTGTTCCTGAGGATACCACCATTGCCAACCACAGCACACTTTTTAAGAGGAAAGTTCAGGGGGTTGCTCTGGAGGAGACAAGATATAGTTTTATTAGCCGACAAGAAAGCATTGATTCTCTCCAAAAGACAGACTTTAACATTGAGGTCATAATACAGCCTTGTGCTAATTTCCTCCCAAGGCCCCGGGGTGCTGAAAGGCAAATCACCAAGGAGATATAAGGGGTGGAATGTTCTGAAAACAAGCTGGGGTCATGCAACTGATGAATCATACTCTGTTTCTTCTATCAGTTAAAAAGCCCAAGGAAGGAAGTTGATATTAGATGTGCAGAAATAATCTGATTATCACGCACAGATAGGAAATAGCACAGATTAAATATGTCCTATGCCTTATAATTAACCAGCTGTTACAAAAGAGTTTATACACAAATGTACATTTTCAATAAATAATACAGATAAAAATAAATATATATATTTCTCATTTCAGATGTAGATCATTTAGATTGTGAAAAACATGATAAGTTGGCAACAAGTTCTGGTTTACCACACAGACCTATCTGACAGAGCATTACATAGATATGGGAGACCCATAAAACCCATTAAACAATCAAGTTAAGAAGTATCAAAGAAGAAGACAAAAAAAGTTAATGACAGAAGTATAATATATGTTTTAACTGGTAAAGCTGAACTTTGTGTTTCAAATTGTGTTTCACCCTGACTTCGAGTTAAAAGTTTGACTCTAGATTTAGACATGGAGAAATTATCGGAAAGTAACCAGCATTGCTAAAAGAAGATCTCGTCCATGTCACTACGATAGACAACTGCATAGACAGAGTTGAGTCTGCATGGTTGGTTAGCAAGTTTGATCTTCTAAAAGGGTATTGGTAAGTGCCTCTGGCCAGAAGAGCTCCTGATATAGCCATTTTAGTAACTTTATCTGGTTTTTGGTTTGTAGTTGTACAAAGTAATGCCTCTTGGTTTAAAAAAAAACAGCAACTACCTAAGTAGAAGAAGTTGTTTTGTTCGAGCAGGGGAAGCAAAAGTGGTGGCTATGAAGCAGTTCACAAAGCCAACCCCAACAAAGGCACGAATGTGTTTCCAAGGGGTGGCAGGATACTACCATTTTCTTCGGTAGAAAACTAACTTGTTAAAAGCCCTGGTTTAGCATTTCAGGTGTCTACTGTGTAAACCAATAATTGTCTTATGATTAATTGTTGATTAATGGTTGATTTGACTAAGATTTGACCATCTGATTTATTGATAATGTTCATCTTAAACGGAACCTCACTGATATTTGCAAGAGAATTAATATCAGAGCTGAAGCATGCTCCGTTCTGGAATTATTTACAATGTTTAACGGGGACAACTATGCAGAATGCACATTATGTGGTTCTGTTTCAAAATATAAACCCTTGATAAAGTTATTAATCCTGCACATAAGTAGCACTAATTTAGCTATGCTGCATGCCGGAGCAATATCATCTATTCTGGAAAGTAAGGATGTGATGAGTGTGAAAGCTAGGGCATCATACAAAACTTCTGTAACATAATGGGAGAGACATCTTAGAAATATTCACGATAATATGCATTATTGACTTGCTGTCAAAGCAAATGACTGTGTTTCAATGTAGTGGATATTAGCTGTGATATAGATCTCTGTTTCTAATGTAATAAAGCAGATTGCTGGAAGGAAATTGGTGCCATTATCTGCGCATAATGTAATTTGAGGGTTGTAGTTGCTCTCGGACGGAACTGTTTAAATAATATGAAAGGTGTTTATATCTCTGTACATTGGATATCAACTGTTTCACATCTTTTATTCCTGTTATTAATTCCTGTTTTGTTATATCTTATATATAAAATTTGATAATGTTTTAAAATGCATGATTTGTTTATTCGGTCAGTGTTTAATACAATCTGTTCAGCATATTAAAAAAACATTTATCCCTTCATGTGATAAAAAGTTCCTCTTCATACAAGAGAAAACTTGTCTTTTTCTGATAATATAAACAATGAGTTACTATGAAAAGCCTTGACTGTGAATCATTAGCTTATCATCATGTGAACTCCACCTACAGCAGTGAGATATTGATTAAACATAAAAGTACATGGTATGTCATGCTTCTGCAGCGATGACGTTAGAGCCAGTAATTCTGAGATGTAGTGGAAAGAACTACCCCCATTATTCTTCATAGAGTGAACATTCACGGTTTCATGTCTGCCTGGAACCTCAGCACAGTTCTTATAACAACAAAGGGCACAAAAACTGAAACCTTTTGATTAAGAAATAAGAACCAAACAAAAAACAATGTCTTAGAAAGATAAGCAGCATTATTTAAAGACATCCAAACAGATAAAAAAAATAAAAAGAAGTATATTAATGATAAAACTAAAGGTTAAAGTTACAGAGTTTGTATGTAAACATCAGACCCATGTGATGAATATGGGTCCGATGTTTACAATCACATTAGTTTATCCCAGAGAAGAAAAAGATAATAAGAATCTACTTTTTGGACTACTAAGCCATATGTAAACGAGCGGTGTTTAAAATATCTTGCTAACCAGTAATTACTTGCCATAATATGCCTAATATGCACATTCCCTGGCTTATCTCCTAATTCTCTAGCTGCTGCCAGTTCGGTGTAGCATAACCTTTTCTCTTTGTTAAGACATGCAACAACTGAGGAGGTAGTTCACTATATTTAGTGCAATGTGGGACTCGGAGCACATTCTGCCCCAGATAACTAACATTTCCCTTTTCCCCAAGAAACGCACTGCAGGCCACAAAGGTTTAACCAGGATATGTATGTTTTGATCTGACCTTGGAGAAAATGTTTAAGTGCTGAAAGCAATATATATATATATATATATATATATATATATATATATATATATATATATACAAAATTACTGTACAGCAATGTCAATACCTACATTTTAAAATATTAATTTGACAGTTATTGTCAATTGGATAGATTTTAAATCGCAAAATATATATTGCGTTATTTTTAACCATCTAATGGCGGCTGGTCAATACAGGGCATTAGGGCGCCGCCCCACCCACCTAATGACCTTGATTAAGACATTAAAAAAAACAAATAAAATTTTATTATGAAATTTACATATTTCAAAATATATATATTTTTTAGACGTGCAAGATGAATATTTAATCTTTTTTTTGGCCATTGTCTAGTTAAAATTTGTGCATACGGAGAAGCTCTTCTGCAATGTGAAAGGATAGGAGATCTCGGGGCGCCGCCCTAATGTGCCCCTGAGTTGACAGAAAGTGATGTCACTGTCATGATGCGGCTGATTGACAGGTCGAGTCGTGGAAGTTGGAGACGATTTGAGAGAGAGAGAGAGAGAAATGGCAAAAGAAAAATTTAATTAAGTGAAACCCCTAAAGCAAACTTACCATAGAAGCTGGAAGCTAACTTGGCTAAGTGGGGCCAATGCTTTATTACGCTATCTTGACTGCCTGACTCCTTTTTTAAATGTCAGGATCTGACCCAGCATGGATAAAGACAGGTAGGACTGATTTAAAGCACTTTTTAAAAAAGGTAAAAAAGAATGAAAAATCTCGGATTCACACGGAAAATAATATAACGTGTACTTTTTCTAGGTGTTTGTTAATTTGCCTAGTTTCTCTTAAAAACACACATTCTCAAATAAATAGTTTTTATACATTAAAAAATATATAGCTGACTCATAGCTTCTCCATTATTAAACTGTTGCATTATTTTTTTTTGGTTTTTGGTATACGTCTATTTTGAATTTATAGCCCCCCCTTGGAGAAAACTCCACCGGCGGCCACATCATCATATATATATATTTAAAGTTCACCATATCTGTTTTACTAAAATTGCTTTGTATGATCAATATAATCAACTCTAAATGATTTATTCTTTAGGAATTTTTACTTAAAATAAGCATTCCTGCCTTTTTAAAAAGCTTAATTAATGAAGGTATTTGTTAAAAGCATGTATTTTTTCTCCTTGCCTCATATCTTGAGGTGTTTAATTTATAGCCACTTTTATGAATATGAACAACTTCATCTGCAACACTACTTAGTACCATTAAAAGCTCCATTTTCTCACTCTTTAACTGCACTGTACCTGTCTTCCACCGTCAAGCATCATAACCTGTGTTCTCCTAATTGGTCCTCATCATCAGTTCTACAGGTGCTGGTCATAAAATTAGAATATCATGAAAAAGTAGATTGATTTCAGTAATTCCATTTAAAAAGTGAAACTTGTATATTA